TCTTGCATATATAATATAATTTTATCTTATTGTTATGTTTTTGCAAGTTCTATTTATATAATGAAGACTCTCCTTGCCTCATAAAGTCCCCTTGGAAGGCCTTTGTGCTCATCTCTTACTTATTTTCCAGGTCCAAGATGTCATCTGGGGCCTTCCTTGCTTGCACTCTTGGTTAATCTTTATTTGTATGCCATATTTTCTTCTTCTTTTATTTACTTCCATGCTTTACTGGAGCCAAGTTCAAGAAAAGTACTTAATGGGCTCTCCCTAGTGGCATAGCAGGCTAATGCACAGCACTATAAAACTAGCTGCAGCCGCTTCAGGACTAGTTTGATCCCAGCCAGGAAGGTGACCCACATGGTTGGCAGACCTCTCCTGTCCTGCCCGCTGCTCCCATCAGCAGTGCATTTCATCAGTCCGCCTGTTGTGCTATCTGCTCTGTCTCGGTGAATCCTCTCACCACCCCAGCATCTCTGGCCTGTACCCCGGTTCTGTATGCATGAGTAAATAAACTTAAAGAAAAAGAAAAGTTCTTAGTAAATTTACTTAACTATTACCATGTTTGACAATGTCATGACTGACTTATCACTTGACTGGATATGTAATCCTAGGGTTAATCATTTAGGTTTGGATACTGAAAGTAATTTCTACTTCCTTCTATCTTTCAGTATAAATTAAAGAAAATTTTGGTATAGTCCAAATTTATTCCTTTCCAGATAGCGTCTTTCTATCCTCATGTTCAACTGCTTAGTGATTCATCCCTCCTTTACCTGCTAGAAAGCTGTTCAGACTTGTTAACCCTCATGTGCTGAACCCTAATATTCATGAGAAGATAACAAGACACATTCGATCTGAAAGCATGCTTTTTTTTTTTTTTTTCGTTCCTCATATAGTTTGTTCAATAATCCCTCCTCAACTTTTGTATCTTACTTTTTTTCTGGGATAATTGCATGCTTTATAAGAACTGCTTCTTCACACTTTCGGAGAAATTATATATTTTAACCTCTCCAAACTTGATGATATCTTTGTTACTTTGTTTTCTGGTTTTCATATTAAATTCTCAATTGTGACAATAATAGTGAAAATCTCAAGTTCTAAGTCTTGTTTGGATTGTGTTTTGGAATTCCAAGCATTCCATTCTTGTCCTCTATTCTGAGATATTTTTATTTTTCCATCATTTCTCTTTTATGTAGTTCTCATATTCTTGGTGATCCTTGGTGGATCGTTCTTATAGAGAAAAAAGATATGGATATCTGGCATTGATTTTGTCTATTGTTAAGAATGTTTTCCACTCTTGTTGGATCTACTTTGAGCGGAAATTCTTTGAAGGTCGAGCCAAGGCTGTTTAACTGACAGGCTTTATAGGAGTAGTCGCAGAATAGATAGGGAGCCAAAGACTGCCTGTGGGTCCTTCAAATGCAGAGAGAAGGAGGGCTTTGCATTGGGGCACTGAAATCCATACTGTAAGCTTATTTTCCCACACAAATTTTAACTTTTCTTGCACAGCTTCTTGAATTTCTTTTTAAAAGAGCCAGTTGATACTTTGTGGTTAAATGCTAGCTACTTGTGCCCTCATTTTATAAAGGTTCTGAGAGATCCAAACTGGATGTGCTGCTGGGTATTAAACAATTCAATCCGTCTGTTTTCAGTCATCATTCCACTCTGTCTCTCTCATAGGTTTTACATAAACTCATATGGGGTGAAATGGACCAAATGGCTTCCACTTTCTCTCAGTCTCCTTGTAGGATATTTTGGATTTCAGTTTTCTCTACCTCTTTTACCATCAGCAAACATGGAACCCTGCCATATATAGATTGGATGAAATATCACATTCAATAGTGATACTCCCTTACAGTCTTCTCACTCATTTGAAGTCTTATGTTTGTCTAAATTCTCTGCTTTCATTTAAATGATTTCAGACGAGAGATCAGCACATATGTTCAAAGTCTCCTGAAAAACAGGTTTTTCTCTGTTCACATTTGTAAATGCCTTTAAAACACTCAATATGTATTTCACAAATTTCCCTCCAAAGCCATTACACTAGGTCACCTATCCCTTAAAAACAAACCAAATATTCACAAGATTTGATCATTTTTAAACATATACACTTCTTGGGTTATTGTTTTCATATACACTTCTTGGGTTATTACTGATATTAAATGTTTTTCCTATATTATATTAGTTAATGCTCAAACTAACCTTTCATGAGAATTGCAACCTCATTTTAGATATAACACAAAGTTCAGATAGATAGATGATAGATAGATAGATAGAGAGATAGATAGATAGACAGACAGACAGACCATAGAGATAGAAACTAAGTTAGTAGTACCAAAAGTTGGGATAGGGTAGACTTGAAAGAAATTGCTTAATGGATAGAGAGTTTATCTTGGAGTGATGGAAAAAGTTTAGAACTACATAGGGCTGGTGGTCTCATTGCATCATGAATGTACCAAATGCTCTGAATTGTCTACTTTGAAATATATATATTTTAAAGATTTATTTATTTGTGAATACAGAACTGGGGTACAGGCCAGAGGCTCAGGGGCGGCGAGAGGCTTCACCAGAGACAGAGTGGGGAGCAGAACAGGCAGATAGATGAAGTACACTGCTGAGGGGAGCAGCAGGCGGGTCAGGAGAGGTCTGCCACACCATGTGGTCACCTCCGGGGCAGGCGGGAATCGAACTCATGCGGAAGTGGCTTTAGATTCTCAGTGCTGTGCTTTGACTCGCTGCGCCACCAGGGAGGGCCTGAAATATATTTTTTAAGATTTTATTTATTTATTCATACAGAACTTGGGTACAGGCCAGAGAAACAAGGGTGGTGAGAGGATTCACCAGAGACAGCAGGGAGCAGAACAGGCTGACTAATGAAGTGCACTGCTGAGAGAGCAGCGGGCAGGTCAGGAGAGGTCTGCCAGGCCATGGGCGGGGTTCAAACTCATGCTGAAGTGACGTTAGCTTCTTAGTGCTGCACTTTAACCTGCTGCTGCGCCACCAAGGGAGGGCCCCACTTTGAAATAATTTTAAAGCATTTTTAAATGGTCATATTATGTGAATTTCATTTAAACTGCTATTTTCTTAAAGTTCAAGTTCTTGAAACTTAATACACCTGGACTTGGAATGAACTATCACTTCTTAGTTGGGTGACATTCGGCAAGTTATTTTAATTACCTACCCAAAATGCTAACTTTAATACTTCATGGAAAAGTGTCCTTAAAGTGTGAGACCGGGAGCTCCCTAGTGGTGCAGAGTTTAAGACTCAGTGCTCTCAAGCTATCATCAGCCATTGTGATATGAGTTTGATCCCTGGCCAGGGAGGTGACCCACATGGCACAGCAAACCTCTCCTGACACACCTGCTGTTCCCCTCAGCAGTGTATTGCAGTAGCTCTGCCTGTCCTCCTCCTTACTCTGTATCTGGTGAATCTTCTCACTTCCTGCACTTCTGGCCTACACACCAGTTCTTCTATGCATAAAAAATACCCTCCCCCCCCAAAAAAAAAAACTTTAAAAGAAAAGTGAGGGATGGAAATATGAAAAAAAACTTGGACCCTCAATGGAAGTGGCCATTCCTCTGTAGTGGATATTCTCTCTGATACAAAGGTGCAGCCTGGTGACTTTAGACCATTTATCTCTAGAGACAATGACTTCTACAACAGCATTGCTTTGTAATAGCGGAGTTCTCTAAATAGCTGGAGAAGGACCTTTACTTTGCTATCTGTGTTCTGTTATTCACATGAACTTTGGTTTTATTTGTTCTTCCTATGAGTTCCCCAAATGACGACTGTACTGGAAAAAAATTTTATGAGATAAAAATGCACTATTTTTCCCTCTTCTTGTGAGTGTTTAATTTCTTTTCCGAAAGCCTAATCCAATGAATTATAATGGATGGCCAATATAAATATCATTTATTGAATGAGGCAATAAAGGTAAATCTATTAAATCAACATATTCTCCAATGTCCATTCAGCATGTCTGTGGAGGAGTTGGAAGTCAGAGGAGGCCATTCAGGTTACAGAAAGTGCATGGCCTTTGATGTGAGACAGCTGAGATGGACGTGGATTAGCATCCTAATACTATTTTTTAGCCATGTAACCTTGAGCAAAGCCTTAGCTTTTTTGGTGATAAGAAAAGAATAGGGATAAAAACATCTATTTTCAATAGCTGTTACTTGAGTTACTGTGTTTCTACTGCTTGGTACTCACCAAATAAATGGCAATAAAGACCCTTTCCCCTGTGCACAGCAATGTTCAAGAAAGATGTAAAAAATCGCCATCACACTAACCGGTGGATTTTTGTGAATTACTGTTGTAGGAATATTTACTTAGTCCCTTCTATTATCTCACTTTAGTCCTTCCTTCAAGTCTACTTGGTAGATAATGTTGTACCAAGCCCAATTGTGGGGCATGAGGCTCAGAGAAGTTATGCCTTATCCAAGACGACTTGGCTAGAATGTATGTTGACTAACAACCAAATCCTAAATACCCTTGGCAATAAAACTTGCACACATAACTCCTACCACTCAGTCTTCAACCAGGGTCTGCCTGAGATTGAGTTGTATGTAATCTGTTCAACTAAATCGTGGACCTTATACAATATTAAGCTTTTACCTCCAGTCAGATTTCCAGGCCAGAGAGATGTGGTGGGTCTGCGGCCTTTGCTCTTTTAGAGCAGAAATGGCCCCATTGACTGCTCTACCCTGACAGTGCCTGAGCTGGGGCTGGCAGCCCTGAGAAGACCTGGCACACAGTTGGCATGCACATACAGTGCTTGGTGTGGTAGCGGTTGGGTCAGATAGCCACTGTACAAGTGGATGAAAGTGTGTCAAGAAAAGCCACATGTAATAATCCATTTCTTTCCACAATGATGATGCATCTTCTAGGGTGTGACTGGCACTGATATCCTTGACATTCATTGAAAACACCCTTGGCTGATTGGGTAATTAATTTCCTAAGGTTAGTCATTAACAGGCTTCCTGCTTTCTTCCTCCTTTGATAGGCCCAGCTGTAAGATACAGTAAATTCAAGATATCAGAGGCCAGGCCGCCTCCCCTGCTTGGGCAGCACACGACGCACATCCTGAAGGAAGTCCTCAGATATGACGACAGAGCCATTGGGGAGCTGATCAGCGCAGGCGTGGTGGCCCAGCATGCAACTGAGTGACAAAGGAACAATACTCTTTCTCAGAGTCATAATCTGGACATTTTTTCTGATCCCTTTTCCAAGTTCTGGTGTTTACACCTGGAAAGAACAATTAGAGTAGCTAAGATTTCCTTCCTGGTGTTTCCAGAATGGCTCTGGAATTAATGAAACTAGTACTTTTAAATGTCCCCTACCTTCTATTCTCTACCATTCCCATCCTCCTTCCAAATAATAAATTAATTGTGGATTTATGGGATTTTTCTTTTCCTGGAAAAATACATTCCTTATTCTAATTATGTTAATTGCTTAAATATTTGCCCCTCGCCTCCCCACAGGTCTGAAAAAGAGCAGATCCTTGATGATCCTGCTTTCACATAAAATCCTCATTTAAACTTTTGTTAGGAAGTCAAAGCAATAAGCAAAATGACAGTTTTGGTGATTGATTTTAAACAGAATAACTTAATTTTGAGCTCATGAGCCCTTTGTTAATCTGTAATTTAAACCATGGACTTTGCTGATGTCCATTATAAAATGGATCTCCTTTTACAATGGGAGTAAATGTTTGTTTTAGGTTGTATTTCTCTGATTATTTCATGATGTGTGGTGGAAAATAAATTTCCATTAATGCATTTTGGGCTGTACATATACCTGCATTATGGTGAAAGGAGAGTTTAGTTGCTGCCTTATTTTGAAATAAATGGAAATACATAAGATTTATAAATGAATGTCAAGTGAATGCATATATAAATAATGCTAAGTAGGAAAATTTTCCTTGTAATCTGAGTACCCACTATAGAAGAATATGTCCCTTAGTATACGTATTTGTGTTTAAGAATTCATCAGTGAGTTTGGAGTACAGAAGATATGTGTAGATTGTGGTAACTGATTTATACATAATTCAAGGATGAACTGTCACTCAGACTGTCAATCACTCAAGCCAGATACAAACCAAGGGATCAGAGGATCACTTGGTCACATGTTGATATGACCGCTGCTCATGGCTGCTGGACACACATGTTTTAAAGGCATGTCACTCCTTAACTGCTAGTGAAAGTTAAATTATAGACGTTCATCTTTCAAACTGATTTAGAATTATTTTTCTTTTTATGTTCCTTTTTACTGAAATGATTTGAGCCATTTGTCATGTTGGGAGGCTCAATATGTTTCTAGAATCAAGGATTCAAAATAAACAGGAAATTTGTTTTCTCACAAGACCTGTGGAACTTTTTTAGAACGCCTACTAATTCTTGAAAAAGTTATTGTCCTCTCCATTTTTTCTTTGTGAACATCTTACTCTGAAGAACTGCTACTGTTATTTAGTAAGTTTCATCTTACAGAGTAGTATAATGTCCTCTACGGTATTTTTCCTCCAATAACAAATTCATAGGATTTTTCATTTCAGGCCAGACAGATAATTGAAATTCCTCCATGACCAATACAACAAAAATGGCAAAACACTGGATGAGGGAGAATTGGTAAAACCACATATCTTGAAAACAGACCCATTATTTTTCCTGTTTGCTCAAGTAGAATTGTTGAGATACAAATTACTTAAGCAGTAACTCTATATGTCTAAGTTACTATATATAGGAAGACACTGATCATTCAAAGAGCATCACAAAATGCCTCTAAAACCTTGAAAACAATCAAGATATTAGTGTTTGTTTGCAGCAGAGTCACTACTGAGACTGTCTCCTGTATTATCATGTATGCAACTATCCAATTTTCATCCACATGACTAAAAATCATCCAGGAGAACTTTGAACTGTTTACCACCCAATAGAAAGCATTTACTCTACTGATGTAGTGAGAAAAAAATAATTTAGAGTACATTTCAAGTTCAAATAGATAATTAATACTGAAAGAAACACTGCACTTGCTAAATTTTCCAGCAATATGCCCCAGATCAAGTTATGCTTATAAACAAATGTGCTGTTTTAATTACCAAGGCCTATTATCTTACACATTTACAAAGTTGAACACACTCCTAAGATACCATATGCTCAAGTTCAGTTGGTGTCAAAGCCTGCCTTCTGGCAGGCTTGTGTCTACTGTTGGCCTAAACATTATTTGAAACGTAGTGGGTTAATCATTATGGAACTGAGGGTGTGTCCACAAATAATAGGCTCCCTCGCCTTGATTATTTTCTTAAACTTTTTGCTGCCATGATTTTCTGGTTAATGAAGCATGATATTTTCCAATATGCAATCTCTGATATGCTGAATGTTTACCTAGAAGGAAAGAAATGGACATTGACTAGCTTCATGGGACCATCCCAGTTACTCGGTGTTCTTTTGGCTTTGATTTATCTTCCAGCAATTTCTCAGTTTTGAGTGAGAAAAACAAAGGAAGCCTCACCATGGCAACTTCATACTATGTCTTTGGGCTACTCAACTTGATAGCACCAACCAGAGGGGCATTTTGGATGAAGACATCAGGATCCCTGATGCTTCATCAGGGAAATTCACACCCAATCAGATTTCACCCCAGTTTAATATTTCAACATGAATTTTTTGTCCGATGGTGTTGGCATGTGGTTTACTTTGAAAGCTAGTAGAAGTGCACCTTGTCCAACACTTTCCCACATGACTCATTGTTGCCTTTTACCAATGGGCTTATTCAAATAATGGCTACAACGGATCTGAAGAAGATGCTAAGTAAATAAAACATACAAAGCTGAACAGACTGTCTAATCTTCCATCTTCTGACTGCTCATCATTGATCCCCAGGTGGCAAAGGAGACAAGTGGATAAAAGAGCACAACTCACAACCTCTACACTTTGACCTACACTACTAATTGTCCAACATGCCCGAGATTGTGATCTTCTTGTATTTGCTGTCCTCTGGGAAGCAGTCTGTGGCGGTGAGTCCTTTTAGTAGCTGAGGACCCTGAAACACAATGAGACTGAACAAAAGGTTAGCCTTCATTTTAGTATCAAAGATTTTATAAGGCCAACATCTCAAACATACTTCTTTTCCTTTTTGACCTTGTGGTTTTAACACTAGCACAATCATTGTTTAATAAGGAGAATAAAATGTTTTTTAAAAAATGATACATGTTTCCATTCCAAATAACAGTTGGAGAAAAACAGAAACTCTTTGCAGAGGATACAATATTGAAGTATAGAAGTGTTCTCAACTTAGCAATAAAATTTTATTTTTCTTTCAGTCCTTCTATGGCAATACCAGGATTAGAAGAGTTGTAAATTATGACTCTTGTCAAATGCTTAGGAAGTTTCTCTATATGGAAACACCAAGCTATCTTCTAAGCACGAATGACTGAAGTTTCACACCCTACCAGCTATAGTCAGGACAGCTTTATATGATGGGATTAATGGGTATAAACAATTCCGGCAGACACATCCCCCCAAAGCCAATCAGATGCATACCTTTAAGTATCATTTTAGACAGTAAAATATTACAGGCACATCAATGCAAGTACTTTGAACTCATACATATATTCCACACACACACAAAGAAATTTGAAGGAGTGATAATTAGAATAAATAAATTTAACTAGCAGGAAAGTAGAAGAGAATGAAGGTCCAGGTAAGACAGACCCACGGTCATGTCTGCTCTGGAGTCTCTGGGGAGCCTGCCATGATGGACTCTTCCTAACACAGAGGCGCCAAGAGAAGGGGGCTGGCATGAACTCAAACATAACCCAGAAAACAGATGACACCTATCTCAATATTTTTCTTGCAACATGTTGGGTTAAAGCAACAGTTTAGTCTTCTCCTACTCTCTCCTTAATAAGAGACTACGGTAGGGCGAATGATCAAATAATAGTCCATCAAAGATTTCATGACCTAATTTCCAGAACCAACCTGTGAATATGTTACCTTACATGGCAAAATTGAGTTAATATTACTAATCAGCTGATCTTAAAATAGGGAGCACAACTTAGATTATCCTGGTGGACCTAATTTGAACATAGGGATTTTTCCTTTTAATGTGGAAGATTTTTCCAACCATTGATAACTTTGGAAATGGAAGTAAACAAAGCAATATAGGTATCATTTAAAGGATGGAAAAGGCAAAAAAAAAATCCTTAAAAGTTCTAGAAGAGAAACATCTTTTCTTGATTTTAGCCCTGTGAGACCTCCCTTGAACTCATTCAGTTTTGATTTCCGTAACTATAAGATAATACATTTGTGTTGCTTTAAAACACTACATTTGTGATAATTTGTTATAGTATCAATAGAAGATGAATATGGAGACTATTCTGCTTTTGTTTAGAGGTGGAAAGTGACAGTAAAATCACTACTTTTGCACAGTGACCTACTTACTACCTTTCTTTGTTTCTCTGATCTTTGTAACCCTGAAAGGACCTCTCTTTTTCTATAGTAATTTTTATCTTCCCTGTCTTTTTATCTTTTATCTTTTTCTTCAACCATTCCTCTTCTTCTTCTCCTTGTGTCTGCAGACACACACACACACACACACACACACATTGCCCAAACATTGCTACCAAACTGACTGACCTTCAGAAAAACAGGACTTGCTCAGTAAATTGGAAGATAACTAGTGATGGTTTTGGCCATGACTTCGCCTCTACAAACAATCTGGGATTAATTTCTGGGTGGGGTGGTTCTTAATTAACTGACTGCCCTTTATCCTCTCTTTAAACTCAGGGAAAAAAGTAGAGAAGTGAAGGTGTGTTACAAGTGCTACTCTGCACTGTGGCAGTACCTCAAGCTTCTATGTCCTTATTTCTAAGGAAAACAGTTAAAGAAATAAAATAAAATACACAGTAGCATCTAGACTCAGGCAGCTGGGTCTGACTGGTATGAATATTGAAAAATATTTTCAACAGTGAAAAGAGAGGAACATCGTGATAGTTGGGGGTTCTGCTCCAGCATGTGGGCTTGCCCTTGTTTGAAAAAGGGACAGGTACAGCTGCTCATTACTAGCTTGTCACTAGTCCTTCAGGCCTAATGGTCTCCATAGGGATGGGGTCTCAGCTTCTAGCTGGGTTTACCATTTGTTACACAAAGTGAATGGAACCTTACTGTTTCCCTTTTCGTTCTTCTTTCAACAGGATGAACAACACTTTTGACACATCCCTTCTTTTTCAACACCCCCCTCCTCCACTATTTTCTTTTTTTCTGCACAAGTTAACCACATGACAGTCTGTTCAACTCCTGTTGGTTTCTTTGGCTCCTGACCATAGAGATTGGAGGGACAGTGTTTTCCTGCTCCTCATCCTGTTACCCGCACCCTTTCCTCCTGCCCAGAAATTTCAAACCGGTGCTCAATATGAAGGGAGACAACTCAGTTTCACAAGATACAACCTTGATATCTAGAGGAAAGAAATTAATGTGAACCTGAAACAGGAAAACCTCTTTCTGCCTTTTTACCCCTTTGTGAACTTTAAAGAAGAATTCAGATTTCCATAGCATCTCTTGGGATGGGATATAGCCACACGTGTAGCACACATTCACACTGACAGTCTTGGATTTATATTTTTGCATTTCTACAAAGAACTTCCTGGCTGTTCTTCATAGAACATTGAAATGTAATTCTAAAGGACAGTATTGAATTCAAGAAAATGGTCACATTCATTTTGCAGGTCCTATAAAGAATTTCTCTTTCTGGAGGTAGAAAAGTAAACACGATCTCTCTGTCTAGATTTGTCCTTATCAAAAACCAGCTATATGTCAATGGCATTGCACAGATGGCAGAAAAGGGCAGAAATGCAATGGCCCAAGTCACCTTTGAAAACACAGCACAGTAACTTAGGACATAAGGAATCTTCTTAGCTTTATTTGTAGACCTGAAGTGAAGGGAATTTTTGATGGTACAGCAAGCTAAATTCTCTTATTCTTAAAAGCACAAAAGAGCGGGACATATCAAAAACTAAACTTCTACCACTGGGTCCATGTTTCCTACCTTCTAAGTCCAGGTATTCTTTCCAGCTTCCCTTTTTGTGAAAACTTAGTCACAACATGTAGGCAGTATGTAGGCAGAAGATGCTCAGGAATTACTAAGTGAGTCATGAACTCATGGACCAAAGTATGGATGACAGCAGAATGAGTAGCTCAATGGGTCTCTGTGGGTAAATGTTTCAGGGGAGGCTTATT